TTCAGCACTTCGCCGAAACTCCCGACCCGCTTGACAGTAGGGGTTGCAAGATCCCTGTACGAGGGCCCCAAGTACGCTTTACCCCTTTTTAAAGCCCACTTTTTTGGTTTGCCTGCCCCCCCCCTATCGCGACTGCTTGACAAGTGAAAAACGAGCAAAAACGTCTCATCTCCCCCCTGGACCCATCCCCCCCCCGGGGGATCTTCATTTCAGCAGAGCCTTTAACATAAAAAGGGATGTGGGTGGCCTTTTGTTATGTACAAAAACCAATAATTTTCAAAATACCACACTTGGGTCCACTCGAGGGCAGCGTTTAAACAAACTTTTAGCCCCAAACGGGCAGGGAAAGGGAGCAAATTTTACTTGGCGTACCCTTCTCCGAACCCTCACCCCTCTGAGATCATACATACCCAGGATGATCGATTTGGAACACATTCTTTCCGCATAAAAAGTCAACGAGGGTAAAGTCAGTTTATCAAATGAAAATTTCGGCCCACAGAGGCCCCCAACTTCAACCCCGGGCCCCCTACTTTATGTTCAAAAACAATAAAAAAGCTTTCAAATGAGCTGAGTAGGAAACACTTTTTAGCTTGCCAATAAAAATTTAGGAATCCCTTTAACCCCCGTAATATAGCTTTTTCAAAAAAAGCTAGGGGCCTTAACTTGTCAAACCCCCCGTGTTAAAAAAAAAAAAAAAAAAAAAAAAAAGAGAGAGAGAAAGAGAGACAGAGACAGAGACAGACAGAGAGAGAGAGACAGAGAGAGAGAGACACAGAGAGACACAAAAGAGGACAGAGACAGAGAGAGACAGAGACAGAGAGAGAGACAGAGAGAGAGACAGAGAGAGAACAAGAGAGACAGAGAGAGACAGAGAGAGAGAGAGACAGAGACGAGACAGAGAGAGAAAGAGAGAGAGACAGAGAGAAAAGACAGAGAGAGAGACAGAGAGAGAGAGAGAGACAGAGAGACAGAGAGAGAGAGAGACAGGAGAGAGAGAGAGAGAGAGACAGACAGAGAGAGAAAGAGAAAAAAGAGAGAGAGAGAGAGAGACAAGAGAGAGAACAGAGAGAGAGACAGAGAGAAAAGAGAGAGAGAGAGAGAGAGAGAGAGAGAAGAGAAAAGAGAGAGAGACAGAGAGACAGAGAGACAGAGAGAGACAGAGAGACAGAGAGAGACAGAGACAGAGAGAGACAGAGACAGAGAGAGAGACAGAGACAGAGAGAGAGACAGTACCAGGGAGGTACTACCGTCCTGCCAAGTGAGTGTAAAACGAAAGCCTGTGATTGTTTTACATGTTGGTAGGATTGCTGATGTCTTTTGTCTGTCTCATAAATATGCAAGATTACAGGCATGTCTTGCTACTTCTACTTACACTTAGGTCACACTACACATACATGTACACATTTATTTATACACACTCATCTGAGTTTTCTTTTGATTTTATCTTAATAGTTCTTGGTCTTATTACTTTTTCCTTTTATATCCATGGGGAAGTGGAATAAGAATCTTTCCTCCGTAAGCCATGCGTGTTGTAAAAGTCAACTAAAATGCCGGGAAAAATGGCTAGTAACCCCTTTTCCTGTAAAGATTACTAAAAAGAATAAGAAGAAAAATTTTCAAAGTGGGAAGTCTGAATGTGCGTTGATGTTGTGCAAATGATAAGAAAGAGATATTGTGGATGTTATGAATGAGAAAAGCTGGATGTCCTGGCTTTAAGTGAAACAAAGCTGAAGGGGGTGGGAGAGTTTTCAATGGAGAGGAATAAATGGGATTAGGTCAGGGGTTTCAAATAGAGTTAAAAGCTAAGAAGGAGTAGCAATAATGTTTAAGGATAAGCTATGGCAGGAAAAAAAGGGACTACAAATGTAATAATTCAAGGGTTATGTGGAGTAAAATAAAGATTGGATGTGAAAAGTGGGTTATAATAAGCGTGTATGCACCTGGAGAAGAGAGAAGTGTAGAGGAAGAGAGAGATTTTGGGAAATGTTGAGTGAATGCGTGGGGAGTTTTGAATCAAGTGTGAGAGTAATGGTGGTTGGGGATTTCAATGCTAAAGTGGGTAAAAATGTTATGGAGGGAGTAGTAGGTAAATTTGGGTGCCAGGGGTAAATGTAAAGGGGGAGCCTGAAAATTGAGCTATGTGTAGAAAGAGATTTGGTAATAAGTAATACATATTTTATGAAAAAGAGGATAAATAAATATACAAGGTATGATGTAGCACATAATGAAAGTAGTTTATTAGATTATGTATTGGTGGATAAAAGGTTGAGGGGTAGGCTCCAGGATGTACATGTTTATAGAGGGGCAACTGATATATCGGATCTTTATTTAGTTGTAGCTACAGTTAGAGTAAGAGGTAGATGGGAAAAGAGGAAGGTGGCAACAACAAGTAAGAGGGAGGTGAAAGTGTATAAAAAAAGGGGAGGAGCAAGTTCAGGTGAGATATAAGCGACTATTGGCAGAAAGGTGGGCTAGTGCAAAATGAGTAGTGGGGGGGTTGAAGAGGGTTGTAATAGTTTTAAAAAATGCAGTATTAAAATGTGGGGCAAAAGTTTGTGGTTATAGGAGGGTGGGGGCAGGAGGAAAGAGGAGTGATTGGTGGAATGATGAAGTAAAGGGTGTGATAAAAAGAGAAAAAGGTAGCTTATGAGAGGTTTTTACAAAGCAGAAGTGTTATAAGAAGAGCAGAGTATATGGAGAGTAAAAGAAAGGTAAAGAGAGTGGTGAGAGAGTGCAAAAGGAGAGCAGATGATAGAGTGGGTGAGGCACTGTCAAGAAATTTTAATGAAAAAAGAAAAAATTTTGGAGTGAGTTAAACAAGTTAAGAAAGCCTAGGGAAAGTATGGATTTGTCAGTTAAAAACAGAGTAGGGGAGTTAGTAGATGGGGAGATGGAGGTATTAGGTAGATGGCGAGAATATTTTGAGGAACTTTTAAATGTTAAGGAAGAAACAGAGGCAGTAATTTCATGCACTGGTCAGGGAGGTATACCATCTTTTAGGAGTGAAGAAGAGCAGAATGTAAGTGTGAGGAGGTACGTGAAGCATTACGTAGAATGAAAGGGGGTAAAGCAGCTGGAACTGATGGGATCATGACAGAAATGTTAAAAGCAGGGGGGATATAGTGTTGGAGTGGTTGATACTTTTGTTTAATAAATGTATGAAAGAGGGGAAGGTACCTAGGGATTGGCGGAGAGCATGTATAGTCCCTTTATATAAAGGGAAAGGGGACAAAAGAGACTGTAAAAATTATAGAGGAATAAGTTTACTGAGTATACCAGGAAAAGTGTACAGGGGTTATAATTGAAAGAATTAGAGGTAAGACAGAATGTAGGATGGCGGATGAGCAAGGAGGTTTTAGAGTGGGTAGGGGATGTGTAGATCAAGTGTTTACATTGAAGCATATATGTGAACAGTATTTAGATAAAGGTAGGGAAGTTTTTATTGCATTTATGGATTTAGAAAAGGCATATGATAGAGTGGATAGAGGAGCAATGTGGCAGATGTTGCAAGTATATGGAATAGGTGGTAAGTTACTAAATGCTGTAAAGAGTTTTTATGAGATAGTGAGGCTCAGGTTAGGGTGTGTAGAAGAGAGGGAGACTACTTCCCGGTAAAAGTAGGTCTTAGACAGGGATGTGTAATGTCACCATGGGTGTTTAATATATTTATAGATGGGGTTGTAAAGGAAGTAAATGCTAGGGTGTTCGGAAGAGGGGTGGGATAAATTTTGGGGAATCAAATTCAAATGGGAATTGACACAATTACTTTTTGCTGATGATACTGTGCTTATGGGAGATTCTAAAGAAAAATTGCAAAGGTTAGTGGATGAGTTTTGGAATGTGTGTAAAGGTAGAAAGTTGAAAGTGAACATAGAAAAGAGTAAGGTGATGAGGGTATCAAATGATTTAGATAAAGAAAAAATTGGATATCAAATTTGGGAGGAGGAGTATGGAAGAAGTGAATGTTTTCAGATACTTGGGAGTTGACGTTCGGCGGATGGATTTATGAAGGATGAGGTTAATCATAGAATTGATGAGGAAAAAAAGGTGAGTGTGCGTTGAGGTATATGGGAGTCAAAAAACGTTATCTATGGAGGCGAAGAAGGGAATGTATGAAAGTATAGTAGTACCAACACTCTTATATGGATGTGAAGCTTGGGTGTAAATGCAGCAGCGAGGAGACGGTTGGAGGCAGTGGAGATGTCCTGTCTAAGGGCAATGTGTGGTGTAAATATTATGCAGAAAATTCGGAGTGTGGAAATTAGGAGAAGGTGTGGAGTTAATAAAAGTATTAGTCAGAGGGCAGAAGAGGGTTGTTGAGGTGGTTTGGTCATTTAGAGAGAATGGATCAAAGTAGAATGACATGGAAAGCATATAAATCTATAGGGGAAGGAAGGAGGGGTAGGGGTCGTCCTCGAAAGGGTTGGAGAGAGGGGGTAAAGGAGGTTTTGTGGGCGAGGGCTTGGACTTCCAGCAAGCGTGGGGAGCGTGTTAGATAGGAGTGAATGGAGACGAATGGTACTTGGGACCTGACGTATCTGTTGGAGTGTGAGCAGGGTAATATTTAGTGAAGGGATTCAGGGAAACCGGTTATTTTCATATAGTCGGACTTGAGTCCTGGAAATGGGAAGTACAATGCCTGCACTTTAAAGGAGGGTTTGGGATATTGGCAGTTTGGAGGGATATGTTGTGTATCTTTATACGTATATGCTTCTAAGCGTTGTATTCTGAGCACCTCTGCAAAAACAGTGATAATGTGTGAGTGTGGTGAAAGTGTTGAATGATGATGAAAGTATTTTCTTTTTGGGGATTTTCTTTCTTTTTTTGGGTCACCCTGCCTTGGTGGGAAACGGACGACTTGTTGAAAAATATATATATATAATATATATATATATATATATATAATATATATATATATATATATATAATATATATATATATATATATATATATATATATATATATATATATATATATATAGGTAGTAGGTTGGTAGACAGCAACCGCCCAGGGAGGTACTACCGTCCTGCCAAGTGAGTGTAAAACGAAAGCCTGTAATTGTTTTACATGATGGTAGGATTGCTGTGTCCTTTTTTCTGTCTCATGAACATGCAAGATTTCAGGTACGTCTTGCTACTTCTACTTACACTTAGGTCACACTACACAGTACATAGTACAAGCACATATATACACACCCCTCTGGGTTTTCTTCTATTTTCTTTCTAGTTCTTATTCTTGTTTATTTCCTCTTATCTCCATGGGGAAGTGGAACAGAATTCTTCCTCCGTAAGCCATGCGTGTTGTAAGAGGCAACTAAAATGCCGGGAGCAAGGGGCTAGTAACCTCTTCTCCTGTATATATTACTAAATGTAAAAGGAGAAACTTTCGTTTTTCCTTTTGGGCCACCCCGCCTCGGTGGGATACGGCCGGTGTGTTGAAAGAAAGAAAGATATATATATATATATAGATAGATAGAGGGGGGGAATGGGATGGAGGGAGAGGTAGGTAGGTTATGGGAAATCAACCTGATGACAGTGGAGGACAGGAGCGATAGTGGGGACATGATAATGACATAAAATACCGAGAGGAATTGACAAGGTGGATAGGAACAGAATGTGTTAGAGATGGGACACAGCAACAAGGGATCATAATTGGAAGTTGAAGACTCAGATGAATCACAAGGATGTTAGGAAGTATTGCTTCAGTCACAGAACTGTCAGGAAGTGGAATAGTCTGGAAAGTAATGTAGTGGAGGCAGGAAGAGGTATTATAAAGCTCATGGAGCAGGAAGTGTGTGGACCCAGCAGCATCCAGTGAAGAGGTGCCAGGAGCTGTGACTCGACCCCTGCAACCCCCCCCCCCCCAACACACAAAACCGAGGAGGAAGTGAAGAAGCTCCTAGGGAAACTAGACACCGCAAAGGCAGTGGGCCAAGATGAGTGGTGGAGAACCTAGAAAGAAACGGGCTCATACGTGACAACCAGCATGTCTTCAGGCAAGGGAAATCCTGCATCACAAACCTACTGGAGTTCTATGACAAAGTAACAGAAGTAAGACAGGAGAGAGAGAGGAATGGGTAGACTGCATCTTCTTGGACTGTAAGAAAGCTTTTGACACAGTACCACACAAGAGACTGGTTGACAAGCTAGGGGAGGAGGCAGGAAGAGAAGGGAAAGTACTGCCATGGATCTGGGAATACCTGACAGGAAGGAAACAACATGTGTTGGTACATGATGAGGTGACTGTGTTGAGTGGGGTTCCACAAGGGTCAGTTCTAGGTCCAGTGCTGTTTCTTGTATATGTGAATGACATGACGAAAGAGATAGACTCAGGGGTGTCCCTGTTCAAAGACAATGTGAAGCTAATGAAGAGAATACAATCGGATGAGGATCAGGTAAGCCTAAAAGGAGATCTGGACAGGGTGCAAGCCTGGTCTGACAAATGGCTCCTGGAGTTTAACCCCAGCAAATGCAAATTTATGAAGTTTGGGGAAGGACAAAGAAGACCGCAGATAGAGTACAGCCTAAGAGGTCAAAGGCTGCAAAACTCATTCAAGGTCTTGGGGTGAGCATCATACCACACACATCTCCTGAGGTGCACATGAACCAAATGACTGCTGCAGGACATGGGCACCTGGCAAACCTGAGAGCAGCATTTCGACATGACACTGTATGTGTACATCAAGCCCATATTGAAGTATGCTGCAACAGTATAGAATCCACACCTAGTCAAACACATCAGGAAATTAAAGAAAGTGAAAAGGTTTGCAATAAGACAAATCCCAGAGCTAAGGGGTATGCCCTATAGAGTAATGTTAGGGAAATCAACGTAACACTGGAGGACAGGAGGGATGGGGAAGACATGATAACAATATATAAAATACTGAGAGGAATTGACAAGTTGGACAGGGACAGGATATTTCAGAGATGGGACACAGCAACAAGGCATCACAACTGGAAGCTTGGAAGCTGAAAAATCAGATGAGTTAGAGGGATGTTAGGAAGTAATTCTTCAGTCAGAAAGTTGTCAGGAAGTGGAACAATTTGGAGAGTGATGTAGTGGAGGAAGGATCCATACACAGCTTTAAGAAAAGGTTCGATAAAGTTCAGGGAGAAGGGAGTGTATGGATCTGGTAGTGAAGAGATGGGGCCAGGAGCTATAACTCAACACGCATGCATGCGCGTACACACACACGCACATGCACACACACACACATACATAATTTATTTATTACACACAGTAAAAATTTGCACTGTATTAAAACAAAAAATCATTATCTCTTAAATAAAAATTCACCTACTTTTGCCTAAGGTTTAAAACATTAGGTGCTGATTTATGCATACAAAAATACTGCACACAGTTCTAATACAAAAATAAATGATCATATTTATCAGCTAAAAACAAAGGCATCTAAGTTTTATGAGACTCGAGTTCCTTTAAAACACAAGATATTGAACCATGCTAAACACAGCTTTTCTGTATGCAATTAAATATCAAATAAAAACTGATACTTAAATTATGGATAATTATTAATAAAAATATCTGAAATATTGTAACCATAATGTTTTTTTTACTCACTAATAAACTTTGTACAAATAACTGAAATTCTTCAAATTTTTGTTGTTGTGATACTGGCAAGTGCTTGTTCTCATGCTCATGGTAAAATATCACATTATTTACAATCACTTTCTCTTTATGACCTACATACTGCACTACAACTACAAAGTCTCTTATATTTATTCATATGTTTGAAATAACTATCGGTTTCTAAGAATCATAGCATATCACAAAACTCCTGAAACTTATCAAGAAGTGTTTCTATTTGTTGTCGTTGATGGTGCTGAGGAGTGTGCTGCTCAACTAACAGATTTTCACCCGGTTGTTGAAGATCAGTGTTAGGCTGATCCTGTGGCTGTTGTTCTTGCAGATTTTGTGGAATCCGATGCTGATTTTGATTGGGTACAATATTAATTAAATGCTGGTGATTTTCTGGATTGATATAGTTTTGTTGTTGCTCCTGTTGTTGCTGTAGTTGTGGCTGCAGTTGCAGTTGCTGCTGCTGACCTCTGTGTACCTAAGAATTCTTCAGAGCATCATTATATAGAACTGAAGACAGAAGTAACTGGTAAAATATAACAAATATGCAAAGCTAAAACTGCACACAGGAGAACATGCATTACCTAACTGAATAAAGTATATAATTATTAGTGGTGTGCAGAAAGTATTGATAGGTATTGCCTAATTCTGATGGTACAGTGCCTGCACTCTAAAGGAGGGGTTTGGGATATTTGCTGTTCAGGGTGACATCTAATCTGTCGTATCTGAGTATCTCTGGCAAGACGATGATAGTGTGAATGCTTCTTTTTCAGGTTACCCTGCCTTGGTGGGAGACGGCCAGCATGTTAAAAAAAAAGAATTGGTGAAAATTTTGGAATCGTCCCATCACTAGTAATTATTATTAAGGATGGGATGATACCAATGCTCATTTTTAGGCTGATACCCACTGATATCAATATTCAAATTTATGTCAATATCAATACCATTAAAATCAGCTGATACCAATACTTTGGCACACCCTTAATTTTGATCACATTCAAGGTGTAGTGCTACTTGTGTAGGGGTCATACAATGCCAAGGAAACAGAAGGTAATCAGGCTTGATCTGAGGAAAGGGATGGTAACTTGAATTCCTTAAATCAGGAACCCTTCACCAGCATCAAGGTGCCCATCCCTTGAAGGATATGGAGAATGAAGAAACTTGCATAAAACAAAAACAAGATATATTACAGAATGAGAGGTTGGCAAGAGTACGTATAATATGCACAAGTATTCTCCTTGGTGTAATCTACAAAGATTATGTAAAACAACCCTGTCACAGTCTGTCTTATTAAAACTAAACCGAAAAACTACACCTTAAACAAGTTTGTTTGATGCATACTAATTAGTGTGGAGAAGAGACAGTGGGTAAGAGGTGAGAGGAACTGGCAATACTGATAAAGGAAACAATACATACTTTATAAATTAAAATTCAATACCCAAATAATGTGGAATTTTTGTTGTAGAAAGAACTCCAGACTAAATTATGATAGCCAGTGTATGCAATTTAAAAAGACTTTAGACAGAGAGAATTTGACAAGGTAAATGAGGGATTACACAATACAAGGAAAGTCTTGCTGATAAGTAACTGAAATAATAGGAAAGTAATTGTTATTAGAGATTTCAAATACGTACAGTGGTACCTCGAGTTACGAACTTAATTCATTCCAGAAGGCTGTTCGAATGCCGATACCAAATGAATTTGTTCTCATAAGGAATAATGTAAATTAGATTAATCTGTTTCAGACCCCCAAAAATACACTTACAAAAGCACTTACAAAAATACACTTGCATAATTGTTCAAGTTGGGAGCTGTTTGAAACTTGAGGTACCACTGTACAAAGAAATAAACTGGGCAACCAATGAAGCATGAACTGTAAATAAATGGTCACCGAAGTTCCTTAACATAATGATTTTTTTTTTATCCGTCAGCACATAAACAGAATGACACGAGTAAGAGAAAGTAACAACACCATGAATATATGACATGGCTTTCACTAGAATGAATGAAGAAATTTTCAACAAAACTGTCTAAATCCACTTGGAAAGTGATATTGTTCTACTGGAAATAACAATTGTTGTTAAATATAACTCTGGAGAGGACAAAAAATATAATCAGGAATGACTGATTATAAGAACACTCAGTGCTTTAAGGTAGTACAGATATTCTAAAGAAACTAAATGCAATATAATAATTACAATAGATGGAAGTAAGTACGCACAGAGTTCTGTAACATTTATGAACTTGGAATTAACAGTTTCTTTTAGAATAGGTGCTGGAGATTTATGAAAAAAAAAAAGAAAAAAAAAAAAAACTTTGAACAAATATTGATAGCAGGCCAAACTAGAGACTAATCAAAGAAATAAACATGCCAGAAATGAAGATACAAATGTAAGAAAAGAACTCTGAAAAAGAAATACATTTCAAATGCAAGAGGGAACAAAATCTTTAATTTAAATTTGTAAAAAAAACTACTGTAAATTTAAAGGCAAAATACAAACCATTTACACTTTCACTGTCTCGACCTCCAAAATTAAAAGTGCTGACAGTATCATGATTTAAAAAAAAAAATTAATTTGAAATGGTAAAGAATGTTATTCTGAAAATAATGACACCAAAAATGCAGTCTGATGGAAACTTAAAGAATTACCCAGGTGCAAAATTGATGGTCTAGGTGCAATTTATGCATAAGCAATTTTGTCCACTTTCAGTCCTATTTTAAGCCAATTCCAATGCTCAATTCAACCAAATTCTTAGATGCTTCCTAGTATGCCTTCCCTTCCATTGATTGAGCAAAAGAAACCACTCATTCACTTATTAGAACTATCCTGTTAAAGGCAAAGATGGCAATTTGGCAATTGTACACAAAATTCAAATGATTTCATTTTTAAAACAGAGTCTGAAATAAACACCGTGGGCATTCCAACCATTAAAACAACCTTTCCTTTGTTCATTAATCACATCCCAGGCATATTCTATATGGCACTTATCCTTCATTTTAAATCCATCACAAACAAAATAATATCCAAGTTTTACCCTATTTCTTGGACAATAAAATATAGCTAAGAATTATTGGGAATGGGTTCGGCCATCCCATTAACTGAAGAAAACCTAGTAAAATGCCCATAAAACAAGCCAGGGGTGCTAGGGCAGAGCCCTACCCTTCCTCAGGAAAATCGCCAAAAATCAAGTATTTCCTGCATACCCTATCTTGAGCCTGGCTATCCACTTACGCCTTACTGCTTTAGGTAATCTACCACCTATTCCATACATCTGCAACATCTGCCACATTGCTTCCCTATCCACTTTTCTGAAACCACAAATGCAAAAAGAGATTCCTTACCTTTATCTAAGTACTATTCACTTACATGCTTCAATGCAAACATTTGGTTTTCATATCCACCACCCTTCCTAAATGTTTCTTGTCCCTCTGCAATCCTACTTTCTAGTTTACCCTTAATTCTTTCAATACAAATTCTATTAGGGATGGGATATCAATTTTTTTCCCAATACCAATACAGGTCTGCCATCACAAATCCGGCAATCAGTTATTCGGTTCCTTCAGTTATTCGGCACTAATTTTGGCTAGCATAATTTCAAATTTCCAGGGTCGCCACACCAACCTACTGGTACTGTTTGGTGGCACTACTTGCTGCATAAGTCATTCTAATTTCTTTTTCTCCATTTATTGTTTTAACCTGCTTACTTTTAGCCCTAGCCATGGTTCCAATGAATAAAAGAAATGCTTCTCATTATGTAAAGCACCTGCACAGTACATTATCCATTAAAGATAAGGTGGCTTTGAAGCCACTGTCAGTTGCCCTTAGCTCAGTCTCATGAAGCAGGAGAATATGCTTTATTATTACACTAATATCAACACTACAGCTTATTTGCCTATCACAATTGATCTAATATGACATAATAAACAATATAAATAACATAAAACATGTTAAATACTCCAGAATAAATAATATTTGGCATAATACCAAGCAGTTCGACAGAGTCATGAAGAGGATATGGTATACAAATACCATTCTCCCTATCCCTGTCTTGGGGCTTATATTAGAGAAAACAGAGTGTAGCACAGGGCTAACTGTGATATACACTCGTACTACCTGGAGTTTACCTGGAGAGAGTTCCGGGGGTCAATGCCCCCGCAGCCCGGTCTGTGACCAGGCTTCCATAAACCTGAAACAAAAAAGTTATTTTCTCTATATAGATTATCACACATAACAGCATATGTGTAGAGAACCTAGGATAACCCAAAAAAGTCAACGTGACTTATTTCTAGTACCTGGCTTGGGTTAGCCATATATGATTTTTTGGTAAACATTCGATTCCCAGCCAGGGTAGAAACATTAGGCGTGTTTCTTTGCACTCGTAGGATTGTTCACTGACGTCACTACCATTGATTACTGCTAATTGTTCACTGACGTCACTACCACTCATTACTGCTAGCAGTTACTGCACGCCTTAAAAACACTAAGGTTCTCGGAGCCTTGTGCACCCACGTCTGCTGACTGACTGTCTGTGTGTGTCTGTGTGCGTGTGTGTGTGTGTGTGTGTGTGTCTGTCTCTCTCTCTCTCTATCTGTGTGTGTGTGTGTCTGTCTGTCTGTCTGTCTCTCTCTCTCTCTCTCTCTCTCTCTCTCTCTCTCTCTCTCTCTTTTTTTTTTTTTTACACAGGGTTTGACAAGGTTAAGGATCCCTAGTTTTATTGACAAGCTAAGAGCTGTTACCTACATCAGCTCATTTGAAAGCATTTTTATTGTTATGAGACATACAAGCAAGGAACAGGATGAAGTTGGAGCCATCTGTGGGCCAGCATTTTCATTTGATCAACTGACGTTATCTCGTTGACATCATTATGCTGTACGAAAGTGTTCCATACTCGAGTCATCCTGGGTATATATATTATCTCAGATGGAGTGATGTTCTGGAGAAGGGTACAGCCAGAGTGAAGTTGCTGCTTTCTGCCCATCTTGTGGCATAAAAGCTTGTTTCACGCTGTCCTCGAAGTGGATCCAAGTGTGGTACTTTGACAATATTGGCCTTGTACATAACAGTAAGGCCACCCACATCCCTATGTTGAAGGCTCTGCCTCCCTCTCTAATATCTTCCCTATTTTGCTTTTAACTGCTAAATCTATTTATTTACTAGGCTTTCTTAACTTATTAATCTCACTTTTTTTTCTTCAATAAGATTTGTTGATAAAGATTTACCCATTCTGCCATTGGCTTTATTTTTTTGCACCTCCTCACCACTCTTTTACCCTTTCTTTTTCTTTCCATATATTCTGCTCTCTGTATATCATTTAAATATTGTAAAAAGCTCTTGTGTACTAACTTTTTTTTTTCCCCTTATCACCCTCTTTACCTCATCATTCTGCCACTTGCTGCTCGTCTCTCCTGCACCTACCCTCCTATACCCACAAACTTCTGCTGCACACTCTAACACTGCACTTTTAACTCTATCCCATATCTCTTCAACTCCTTCGTTACCTGTACTTTCTCTAGCCAATCCTCCTCCCAACAGCTACCTATATCTTACCCTAACTATCATCTCCTCTAATTTATTCACTTTCACCTCCCTCTTACCCACTGATGATATTCTTGTTCCCCATCTTTCTCTCTCACTTTAGTTACCACTAAATAATGATCTAATATATCTGTCTCCCATCTAAAAACATGCACATCCAGAACTTAACCATCAACCTTTCATTTAATACATAGTCTAACAAACTGTTGTCATTGCATCCATTATTATATATCACACACATATATCACATACTTATTTATCTCTGTGGAGAAGTTGAACAGAATTCTTCGTCTGTAAACCATGTATGCTATAAGAGGTGACTAAAATGCAGGGAGCAAGGGGCTAGTAACCCCTTCTCCCATATACATTACTAAATTTAACAAGAGAAACTTACATTTTTCTTTTTAGGTCACCCTGCCTCAGTAGGATATGACCGGTTTGATAAAAAAAAAAAAAAAAACCTTATTTACCCTTTTTTCATACAATAAGTAATTACCTATTACCAAACCTCTTTCAAAACATAACTCAATTAAAAGACCCTTTAATTACCATTTACCCCTGGCACTCCAAATGGCTTCTCCCACTTCAGTATTTAGGTCCCTCACAACAAATATTTTTTCACTTGCTTTGAAACTCCCTGAACATCTGCCTAACACCATAAATCTCTATCTCCTCTGCATGCATCTCTTACCTTTGTGCATAAACACTTACTATAACCCATTTCCCACATCAAACTCTTATTCTAGTCCATATAATTCTTAATAACTCATACTCCTTTTTCTCCTCCATAGTTTGTTAATTTTACTGCTACCTTTTCTTTAGTTCTAGTTCTCTCAGATACACCAAATTTACTTCTCCCCACTGAAATTTTCCCACTCTTTTAGCTTTGTGTCACTTAGTTCTAGGAAATCCAGCTTCTTTTCATTCACAGCATTAGTAATCAATTCTTTTTGCTCAACCATACTACACCCATGTACATTCAAACAACCCAATTCTACTATTTCTTTATTTTTCTTTTTAGTAAGAAATAGTTACTAGTCCCTACTCCCAATATTTTTGTCAACTTTCACTGCATGCACTGCTTATGGAGGAAGAACTGTATATCTGTTCTTCTCACTCTACATCAAAGCTTAATCTCTTTTTACTAAACTTTCCTAAGAGTTTTCAAAATGGTATTAACTTACCTGCTGCTGCTGCTGCTGTTGTATCCATGGTGCAACCTCTCTCTGATATTCCACACCTCCATCCCTCCTCCTGACTCCTTGCATGATGTCATTAAATTCATTTATTTGATCAAAGAGATTGTCCCTCATCTGCTCTGGCTGTGCTGGGGGATGATGATTGAGGACCGCTTCTGGGTATCTAGCAGCATGGGGAATGTGATGATGGTGGTGGTGGTGGTGGTGATGGTGGTGGTGGTGTTGGTAGCCATTTACTTCAGGAACAGTCATTGCAGGTGCAGCTACATGAAGCTGGAGATGGGCCTGCTGATGAGCTGGTGGTGGATGAGGATTGTGATGAGCTGGTGGACCCGGCACAGGAAATGTAAACAAATGCACAGGCCCTACACGATGAACTTGATGATAGTCAAGTGGTGGAGCACGAAGTGGCTGGTTATGTGGAGGAATTATGTGGGGTCTGCGCTGGTGGGCAGGCGGAGGGTTATGACGGTTTGGTGCTGGTATGCCACTCTTCTGCTTCGACAAGTGCTTGGGGATCTAAAACAAAATTTATCATACGTCATATTAGATGTGTGTAGTATTAATATAATAAATACTGAGTTATTCACTTACTTTAATTTTATGTTAGCCATTATATTATGTAATATGATGACAAAATTAGTAAATGTGATACAAAAGTCATAATTTAAACAATTTTGCCATCATATACACTAAGTTCCAAATATATTCATACCCTCAATGAATATCCCAAATGAAATATGACTTAGCAACAAAATGCAGGCATATAATCAGCATCTTTCTATACAAAATAAAATACTGCATGTACCGAGTGTATCCAATAAAAACATTTACATTTACAGTAATTTTCCACCTGTATGCAAAATAATGACTGTGAAAAAATAGTGGTTGTTTTGCATACTGTGATACTGTATCACCTGTACTGTGATCTTATTGCTTCCACCTGTATACAGTTAACTTTTACCACAGAAATTTCATTTAAACTGAGGTGCTCCTTTCACACTTACCTTTAGATATGCCTCACACCTATGAGTGACTACCAATATTGATAAAATACAATTACAATAAATAAAATTGTGCTAAATAAAGCAAACATGAGAGAAATCAAAGTTATGTTCCAAACATCTCCAACATAACCCCTCCTCTGAAAACTATATACTGTATGGAGTACAGTAAACATTTTTAAGAACAGTAATATTAAACTTATCTAGCTTCTGGCAGGCAGTCATCTTTTAAGCAGTGTGGCATGTTTAATTATGTAAATGGTATATAATACCAACAAGCAGATGAGTAAGGTACATGTACAACAGTTTGCTATCTTTATCTAAAATGTACTAAACTGTTGCACATGTGACTTACTCACCTACTTATTGATATTATATACCATATACAGGTCGGCCATCACTAATCCAGCAGTTATCTGGTTACATCAGTAATCCAGCACTAATTTCGGCTAGCAAAATTTCAAATTTCATCATTATACTGACTCAGAAATTGTGCAGATGGTTGTAAATCCACAGCAGCAAGCCAGTGGAGGAGAAAGCAGTGATGAAAATGAGGAAGATGTAGCAGAGTTTCTATTGATAGGTTAACCCTTTGACTGTCGCAAGCCCATTTCTGGAACTCATTCCATGCTGCAAAATTTTTGGAAAAAAAAAAAAAAATTATTTTTGCTGATGAAATGATAGAGAATCTTTTCCTGATGGTAATGACACCATAAGTACGAAATCTGATCGAAAACATGGAATTACGCTCCCTCGAAGTTAGCTATCTCGGCAATATATATGCATCGGCGATTTTGCCGACTTTGAGCCCTATTTTCGGTCAATTCCATTGTTCCAGCCGACCAAACTCATAGCTATTTCTTCAGAACTCAGCCATCAACATCTGCTTAACCATCAACATCTGCTCAACCATCAACATCCGCTCAACCATCAACATCTGCTCAACCATCAACATCTGCTAACCCATCAACATTTGCTCAGCCATCAACATCTGCTTAACCATCAACATCTGCTCAACCATCAACATTTTTCAATCTTCAATATCTCCTCAACCATCAACATCTGCTCAACCATCAACAGTTAGCAAAGAAATAGTTTTGATTTTGATTTGAGTCACCACTATTGATGATGGAAGTTTACACATCCTTCCACCACAAGAATAAATTTGCTCTATATTACTATATAGTACTGTATTGTACCATGCTGTGCTTTACTGCACATGTATAGTACAGTGGTACCTCGAGTTTTGAACAGCTCCCAACTCGAATAATTATGTAAGTGTATTTTTGTAAGTGCTTTTTTAAGTGTATTTCTGGGGGGTCTGAAACAGACTACTCTAATTTACATTATTCCTCGCGAGAACAAATTCATTCGGTATCGGCACTCGAACAGCCTTCTGGAACAAATTAAGTTTGTAACTTGAGGTACCACTGTACTACTGTACTTTTGACCCCCTTCATTTTTACTTCCAGTATAAACTTCATTATTTTACAGGCTACAATATTCTCAGTGTCCAGTAGTTTTCTGAACCAAGAGAACATGTCAGCTGAGTCCTCACTCTCTTACCATCATGAAACAAAATTTCACAATTCAGATTCAACTCAAAATCTGCAATAAGTACACCCCCTTTTCCCCATTAGTCAGTTATGTTGAAGGTTTACTGAGTGTGTGTGTAGGGGAGATGTGAGAAGGGTGAGTTAAGTGTAAGTGGGGGTGCACCCCCAAACTTTACCCCAACCCCCAACTGTTCCACTAACCCCAAAACTGGAACACAGTAACAGAAACAAAACAAAGTATGGTATATAAATGAAGATGGAATAACAACAAAGAATGGAATAAGCGAAAACTGCAGGCATACCCCTGACATTATAGCGCGCACAGAGACAAAACTCAGAGATAATAGATGCAGTCTTCCCAGCTGGAGATCATCAGGAAAGATAGAGGGAACAGAAAGTGGAGGCAAAGCATGGCTAATCAGAAACCAGAGTAGTTTTGAGATGGGAGTAATAAGCAGTGGGGAGGCAGATGATTACTGCACACTGACATTCACTTATCCAAGAGAAGAAATGCCAGCTGCTCTAAGCTACATCAATCACCAGCTGAGAGCTATATCAGCTTGGGGAAATAGATGGCAAGTAACATTTGCACCTGAGAAAACGCAAATGATGATCGTCTCTAGGCACCATGATGGTAATGCTGGTGCAGTAGTAAGGATGAATGGGAGGGTGTTGGCACCTGGAGAAGAAGTTGATATCCTTGGGGTGAAATTTGACTCCAAACTAACCATGAAGAACCATGTTGTAAATCTTGCAAACAAGGCAGCCAGGAAGCTTACAGCACTTCGCCGTATCTCGCATCTACTTGACAGTAGGGGTTGCAAGATTCTGTACGGGGCACAAGTACGCTCGTACCTTGAGTATGCTCCACTTTCTTGGTTTGCCTGCCCCCCCCTCTCATCTGCGACTGCTTGACAGAGTAGAGAACAGAGCAAGACGTCTCATCTCTCGCCTGACCCATCCTGGATAGATCTGTCATTTCAGCAGAGCCTTCAACATAGGAGGGATGTGGGTGGCCTTACTGTTATGTACAAGGCCAATATTGTCACAGTACCACACTTGGATCCACTTCGAGGACAGCGTGAAACAAGCTTTTATGCCACAAGACGGGCAGAAAGCAGCAACTTCACTCTGGCTGTACCCTTCTCCAGAACTTCACTCCATCTGAGATCCTATATACCCAGGATGACTCGAGTATGGAACACATTCGTGCAGCATAATGATGTCAACGAGATAAAGTCAGTTGATCAAATGAAAATGCTTGCCCACAGATAGCTCCAACTTCATCCTGTTCCCTACTTGTGTGTCTCATAACAATAAAAATGCTTTCAAATGAGCTGATGTAGGTAACAGCTCTTAGCTTGCCAATAAAGTTAGGAATCCTTAACCTGTAAATAGCTTGTCAATAAAGCTAGGGATCCTTAACCTTGTCAAACCCTGTGTAAAAGAGAGAGAGAGAGAGAGAGAGAGAGAGAGAGAGAGAGAGAGAGAGAGAGAGAAGAGAGAGAGAGAGAGAGAGAGAGAGAGAGAGAGAGAGAGAAAGAAAGAGAGAAAGAAAGAGAGAAAGAGAGAGAGAGAGAAAGAGAGAGAGAAAGAGAGAAAGAGAGAAAGAGAGAGAGAAAGAGAGAAAGAGAGAAAGAGAGAAAGAGAGAAAGAGAGAAAGAGAGAGAGAGAGAGAGAAGAGAGAGAGAGAGAGAGAGAGAGAGAGAGAGAGAGAGGGAGAGAGGGAGAGAGGGGGGAGAGAGAGAGAGAGAGAGAGAGAGAGAGAGAGAGAGAGAGAGAGAGAGAGAGAGAGAGAGAGAGAGAGAGAGCACTACTCCTATCCCACCCCAGCAGGTGGTATTGTGCCTTATACAAGACCATAGACCTACATCCCTGCAGCTGCCTCAGTACCCTACCTCTCTCAAGGGCAGGCACCTTACATGCCCTACACACCCACCACCTCAAGCTGACCACATCATCATGAGGAGCCAGTCTATCAGCATCCTGTCAGCCAACATTAGAGGTTTCATTACTAATGTTGGAGAGCTCACACACAGTTTTGTGAACACTCGACGTCCCGACATGATAGCTGTTGTTGAAACATTTTTGGATGACAGGACTCCAGAAAATTTTTCAAGAATTGCTGGCTACACCTCATGAATGAGAAGAGACAGGCAAGGGCAAGGAGGTGGTTTTGCTGTGTGCTTCTCTAAAAGTGTTCATGCCTAGTACATTGATGTTGCCACTCCTACACATCTTGAAATGATGTTCTTCAAGCTCTGCATAAACACTAGTACCTCTGTACTAGCATGTGCAATGTACAGACCTCAGTGGCAACATGCAGATCCCATCAACTTCCTAATGGAAAATATTGACTCCCTTCTCCTACAACACAACTGTCAACATATCGTAATTGTTGGTGACCTCAACCAGCACCTTATACAGAGGGACTTTGATGACCTTCTTGCAGTGTTTGACATGAGAAACTTTGTTGCTTTCCCTACTCGCATCTCTGGCTCCTCCCTTGACCCAGTAGTGAGTGATCTGGCAGAAGGCATAGTCACTTGTCAACCCCTCGGCTATGTTGGATCATCTGACCACAAGGCTTTTTTTTACGACACTTAAGATCCCAACAGAATGAGGTGAGGAGTCCACACGCACAACCTGGCTATGGGAAAGAGGTAATTGGCCAGCCCTTCGCTCTGAGCTCGCCACCACTGATTGGAATGCTCTTCTCCAAGCGGATGTTGACAAGCAAGTGAAAGCCTTCACTGGACACATCCTTAATCTACAACAAAACACATTCCTAAACCGCAATACGTGATAAGCCTACGGATCACCTTGGTTTTGGCTTTCGTTATAGAGAGGTGCTACTGCTAAGTACAAAGCATGGCAAAGGTATAAGAGACATCCTACCACCTATAACAGGAACTTGCACAGGCAAGCCTGTAGACATATGGGTGATGTTCAAAAGTGG